GTTTTCTTCACAGGCTATTTGAATACCAGGGTTTTGGAGACCCTCCAGCGTTCGTCTCATTATTTCATCGATCACAAAGTTAAAAAGGAATGGGAAGAGTGGACAACGCTGACGGACACCGCTTTGCGTTCGGAAGCTTTTGGAGAGCTCTCCGTACACTCTCACAAGTCCGGAGGTCTGAGAATACAAAGAACGTATTATGTTTACAAACTACCGTGGGATTCCTTGGTGGGCAAGTGTGTCAAGAAGAACAGACCGACCAACCGAGTCGAATAGGCCTCGGAAATCCAAGAATACTAGAATTCGGGGTCGTTTATAAGTATGGCTTCCCCGGACTTAAAATGCGATTGCCTTGAGTTGTATTTCTTTCTGTCACGTGATCCATCTTAACAGTCGGATGTGTGGCTGGGTGATAAGAACAATCTTCCGTACCGAGACTTGATGAAATCGGCGAGAGGATTTACGGATGGGAAGGGTCATCATCAATCGTTCAGCTGTAACACCTTTTAGATGCCTAACTGACATGCCACGAGAAGGAGGCAGGGGGGCTGGTATACTGGCAGATTACCCAAGCCTAGACAGGTTGGTCGAGAGGCAGTGGTCGGATTCGAACCACGGACTTTTCGGTCAGCAAATTCATTCTCTAACCACTGAGCTATCTCGCCACCATCAACGTCACTAGTACTATTATTATCATTGTTATTGTTCACGGCAAACTCATCCATACAAGTCTGTGATTTTGGATTTTATTAAGCTTTCATCATTACATGGGTTGGCTTTTTTCAGTAGGGGCGCATTATGCTAAACAGGTCATTTTCAAATGAATCACTACACAGAAGATAAAGGACAAACTGGAGGTCAGCCGTCTTTTAAATTGTTTATCTCTATCACCGCCAGAACACATAAAATCTACATGAGGACGTGACTGCATCAACTACCTGATTTCAGTAGGTACGTCTGGTTCGGCGCTGGAAATTCAATGTTCTCTTACGTGGCTTGGGATAAATAGGCATTTCAACCCTGGAAACGTAGCAAGAAACCATGAGTCAGGCAATGGCCAATGTATTGTTGATTGTATCAAGTGAACCCTCCGAGCAGTGGTTGGTTATGGCACAACAGTAAGGGTTGTCCGTATATCGGAATGTGGAAAGCATGAACGTTCAAGAAAAGGATAATACGCTTGTCTCAAAGGATGACGTAACTTGTTTCACATTACTCGCCAAATTCACCCCGACTTCTCATCCCTGACCTGATCAATAAATCTCGCAAGCATTACCCTGACCAGCCGTTTTTTGCTGAATTTGTTCCTTCTGTTTGAGCCAGAAGAAAAAATATCGCAAAAGTCATTCGCTCAGATGGTGTTTTTCTTCGTTGTCGAGGCGACTACTTTACACTTTTACACATTATGTCACAGCTCACCATAAAATTAGTTGAGTGTCGAATTCATGATATATCTTACTGAACAGTCTGTTAGTGGTCGGTTCTGATGGAGTTTCTGTTGTTCCAAGGTCACAAAGTTGGGATTTAAAGTCGGCCAACCTAATAACGTGAGTTTGGAGCAAGCGACGCGCCAAACGTAAACTCCGTGTACAAATCTGGTTTTAAAAAAATACAGTTAAACCAATGCTAACCGGATGGATCCGGTTTCATCCAGATAAAAGCGACCACAAATTGCTTTTATTTAGGAGTGAGCTATTCTGTGGTTAGGCTCCGACGTTCGAATCCTTACAAAAAGTGTGCTGTTTTTGACCTAATGATCGTTTCGGATATATATGCCATCACGGTGTGGATGCACATCCCACTTAGGCATATACGTAAGCCCGTGAAATGTGATTTCGTCAACCCAGGTTCGAATTTCACAAAGGCAGCTTCAAATTGGAAATCAGTCAGAAAGTCATTTTGTGTGTTTAAAGAGACGTAAACTCATGGAAAGCATCTCTCCTGGGCGTTTTTTGAAAGATATATAACGCTTCACTGTAACATCATCACCATCATCACCATTATTCTCGTTATCGTTACCGTAGACAGAAAAAGTGTTGATACTCAGTTTTTACTACTGTGCAAACTGGAAGAAAAAACCTGGGAAATCAGAAGGATCTAAGAGAAAGATGGTAAACATTTCATCCACAAAATCTGGAAATAAATAGGAAACTTTAATTTAATCAATAAAGGTCTTCAACAATTCTTAGGTTGTCTTTAGCAAGGCACTGGAGGGCTACTAGGATTCCATGCAGTTTACCATCATTCGCCGTTGATGTTTTGCGGTGGCAATGCTTGAATAAGCATTACACAACAGCTGTTTCCTTGATATTAAGAGAACCAGCTCCGAACGTAGCGGACTACATAAGAGCCAATGGAATAACCGTGTTCGTTGAGACAGATTTCATTGGTTGTTCTTCACTCGCCCTTGACAGGTGAGTTGTAGTCTTGGTATCACTTTTTTTGACCCGCTTGTACGTGACAGTGATCAATAGAGCGGCTGGCTCGCGCGTTCATTGACTTTTCTGGTTTGGCCAAGCGCACCAGGCGATCGGGTGGCTATCCAGACCGGGGTTCACGGTAATAAGAAGGCATTAAGAAGGCTGTGGTCTACAACACTTGACCGCACACAACCGGTTTTGCGCTTCTTGGGACCCATCAGGCAGGCGATGAGTGAGTGCCCCGGGAAAACTAATTAAATATGTAACTGAATGTATTCGTTGAATTTCGTGCGACTGGAGTTGAATGAAAACATAAGGTTGACGGGAACTCGGGGAATGCGCCTCCCTGGTGAGTGGCAAGAATGACGAAATCGGTCGTGGGCTGTCAAGGAGTTTTCAGCACTCTTGTTAATAGTTTTTTTATGAAAATATATTGTGGTATGTCGAAAACCTTACCAGCTGAAACAAGAGAAGGCCCTTGTGCAACACATTCAGTTAGATGGTATCACGGGCGATGGATTTAGGTGAGTGTCTCGTGAAACCAAACCGGTGTGCAAATGACTGCATTTATCAAGACTCATTTTCCTGTTTATTTTATCCGTATTGTCGCTAAGGACGACAGATTAGGTGATACACAGTTTTCTAAAATCTAAGCACCCAGTTTTCCACAGTTTATTCCATACAACACGCCAATGGTATCCTTCAAATAAATTTGGAAGAAATGAATTCAAAATACAATAGCAAAAAACATCAGCCTAGCTTCTCACCTATAAGAGATTTCGGGGTACAAGAAAACAAGATTGCGAAACTCGCAGAGTCTGAGTCATCCTGGCTCTATCCGACGCCTCCTTATCTCCATCAGATACCTGGTGATCAGGTATCACAATTATGAACCGTTAAAATCTACTTAATGGCAACGTTTACAGGTGCTCTCTTTCTGGCTTCTGGCCAGTTCTGCTGGTCTGCTACACATGAATCAATTAACACTGGAACAGGTTGACAACCGTGTGGTTTAAACTGGCTTCAGAACTGGTCAACACCAGACTGAGAGTTATATATCTCTTTCGTCTTTCGTTCTGTGAGTTCCACTCAAATGTTAAGGTAGAAATTTGAAGCCGATAAGCTGTTTCGGAAGTTCAACTTCCTGAGTGTCCTTGACCGGAATGCGGATCATCTTTGTCCTATGGAGAGCCTTTGTCCTGCATGAGACAGAATAACGTATAGTTCAGGTGGGTGCCTGGTGAACACAGTGTAACAAAGCATGACCGCCGTTTTCTGATGATCAAAGTTTTCAAAACTGAAAATTGTCTTCTACTCTAAATTTATGGTTGAAAGAAATTTCTTGTATCGTACGAAAAAATAAGGAAAGGAGTTAAGCCTGGTCCACATCCTTCCCCATGATTACAATGTCCTCTATTTACGCTCTGTGCAACTTTGATTATCGAATTTGAGTTTTCTGTTGGCTAATTCAAATTCAAAGTTTGTTTAATTTGGTTTCAAGTAGAACACTAAAGTTTGACGGAAACTCGGGGATTACATTGACCTGTGGATTCTCAAAAAGGGTGAAACGGGTCGTGGGCTTCGAAGAATTTTCAGTAAACTTCTGAGTAGTTTTCTTCGAATAAATGACATTTGGTTGTAGTTTGTCTGATTGAATACAATATCATTTGAATTATCACATATCAGAGTGGGATTCAGTTTGTAGTGGATGGTGTCTATTTACATGGAGATCAGTCATGTGCCATGCATTCTTTAGTTTCTGTATGATAAGAATGTACGTTTCACAATTAAATTGATACCGAAAAAAGGGAGTCACGTTCCACATCTACTCCCACTTTTGATCACAGTAAAATGAGGCGAAAATGAAGTCTGGTCATGATCTGTCACTGCAGGCAGAAGAATTCACATCCTGTGTTCCGAGAGCTGATTGTCCCTTTAGATTATCAAAGATTCAACTTCTGACGCTGCCCGTGACCACATTACAACCGGAGTTTTCCACGAATACGTATTATCTCAGCTTCGGCCGCTTTCAGATTCTGACGTAGGGCTTGGTAATGTTTCTTTGTATACTGTCTCGTTGCCCAGTACAACGATGTCTGCAAAAACAGAGACCAACCGTTGGAATGGGTTACGATGGGTTTGAAATGTGGAATTAAATTTCTCAAGACTTGTAATTCAAGAGTTTTTTTAAAAAAACTTCACATGGTGAGGGTGTGACATTTGGATAATAAACCCCCCGTTTTAACACATTCTAGCTTAACTGAAAGAATTAGAATACTAAAGATTCATGATCTTGTAAACAAAACTCTATTCTGAGATGCCATTTTAGCTTCTGGCGGTAATTTCAGTTTGCCAGCGGTATTTAACATATTTGAATGAGTATGGTGTAAATGAACAGGGAATCGAGTGCGATGACATTGGCTACCTATCAAAGAACCATTAGTTCAGGTCGCCAGTAGGATGAATTGAGCTAGTCCGTTCGGGGGGTGTTGTAGTTGTGTGTTCAGCACACAGTGCATGTGTGGGGGGAGGTGAGTTTGACCATGGTAAGTACAACACACGAACAAAGCGTTTTGCCGACAAAGGATCGGGTCGCGATGTCGTATGGCGATAGCTTCAGCCACTGCAATTGTGCGCTGCTGTACTGATCTGGGTTGGTTAGCCGGCGCCTTGTAAACAACGCGGAAACTTTGGCTGGGTATCACGTTGTGTGCAGTGTCGGCTAAATGTTGTACTACGGAACTGGTTATCGTCCTCCTGGTTCCAGAAGCTAGCCAGGGTGGATTGTGTTCCTTCATTCTTTGGCTGAGTTGCCTAGTCGTGCGTCCGATGTATTCCGCTGCACAGCAGCAAGAGAATGAGTAAACTAACATATTTTGGGCGTGGACCGGCACTCTATCCTTGAGATTAAAGGGGCACAAACGATTGCTGGTGAACCAGGTTCGGAGTTTTGCGGCCGGGAAAACTTTGTTCAGACTGGTGGAAAGTCTTCTGTTCAGTAGATCGGCCGGTATATCTCCCTTAAACGGGAGGCTAATGTAAACTGGTTTCCTTCCAGCTGTGGCTGTGATGGTGTTTGCTTCTTCCCTGTTCAAATGTTTTGTAATAAATTTGTCGGGGAATCCATTGTCTCTCAGGATGTTGGTGAGAGTTCGGAATTCTTGTTCCAGTGCATCCTCAGAGCATATTTTCTTCGCTCTGTTAGTTAGGCTGCGGATCTTATTATAAATGGGAATTTTCGGACTACTACTAATTTTCCCATGAGTAGGCTACGGAGAACAAAACATCAAGTGCTTTGACTGAACTACATGTAACCAGGGGCTTGCAGCAATATAGTATAGTTACGAGGTAGTAGGAACTGATTCGCGGTAGCAAACAAGAAGGAAAGAAATACAGTGGGAAGAAACATCCGTTTTGATTTTGGTATCGAACAACCCGAGGACATTCGGTAAGCAAGAGTTCAGTGTCCGGCACTGCTTGACATAGGACAAGCGCAAGTGCTATGGGATTCCTAGGTGCTGGCGTCCGTGTGTCTTTTTCGCTTGGTCGGAGATGGTGCAGGAGGTTATAAAGAGTGGTTAAAAGCGTTCTATTTGTTACATTGTATTTGGTTTATTTGACTTAAACACGAGAACGGTGAATGGTCGGAATTACACTGGAATATTGGTACTTCGGGCGCTTTCACCGGTGGTTGGTCACTTGGCTGTTGATCTGTTCGTGGAGGTTGACAAATAGCTTTCCACGGTTGGTTGGTTAGTCCCTTCTTACCTGCTTGAGCTTACATAGTTTCGAAAGACTAGCTGATATTTACCGCTTTGAATGGCTAACCAGAAGCACGCCTTTCTCAGACTCCTAGTCGTCCCTTTTGAATTGTTTCTGCATTTTGGTCTTTATTTGAGATCATATAATCAGAAATGTACTGAGGTGCTGAGAACAGGTGAAGGAATGAAAAAGGATACAAGTATGAGTATGTAGCTTACCTTCGTGATTGCTTTGGACCTTGTCGATCCCAAGTGGCGCCCACCGGATTTCGAGACATTCTGACCTGCAGTAGAACAAAATTAGGCATTATCGGTGATGAGATGACTTCAGAGAACCAGTTGAAATAATATTAATGATGTTATCAGATCAATTGGGTGCAATAATTTCAATGAGTTGGTGAGATGGCTTATTGGTCAGAACGCGAATTTACTGACCGGAATGTCCGTGGAAGTACCCCAGCCCTCATGCATAACAGCTAGGTACCGAACAGGTGTTACAGCTGGACGAATTAATAAGATATTTATCTCCCAAGAGTAGCTACTACCTTGGAGAGCCCAGAACACCTCTGTCAGAGGAGGAGCATTTTCATTTCAGAAGAGACAAAACTCCTTTAGGCAGAACATCACCGGAATCTGTCTTTGAGAACTCTAATGCGGATCACTGTATCAAAGAGTGGACAGTTTTCTACCTCCATTGCTGTATTTCCATCGAGATCATCTTAGCACTGATGGTGTTTTGAAATGTCAGGCGTGCAGTTCTTCCTTACGGCGTCGGTGTTTTTCTAATCCTGGTCACCATATCTAACACTCAACCAAAATGTGCTGAGTATCAGTGAGTATGAGGTTCATTATGGGGTCGAGAATATCTCTGGAAGGCTTGAAGGCTGGAAGGTTGGAAGGGTTTAGGAGTTGAGAAGAGTTTTGGCACGTGAAATCATTCACATTGTCAGGAGATGTGGAGAGTGATATGGTGCAGAAAAAGGGGTGGGTTGGCATCTAAAAATGGTCCACAGTTAGGACGGAAGTGGGTGAGCAGGATGGTAAAAGCGCATTAGAGTCTGAGCTGACCACTGGTATTTGCGCATGTGAGGTTTCACAAAGCCCGTGTGGTTTGACGTACTTTTCATTTAACTATGGGGAGGCCGGAGCAAAGTCGGGTTATCTTGTGAAGAAAAATGGACAGATTCTTGAGGACGCAGTTGAGGATGCGTTACTTATCGCGACCTTGACGATAAATACCCGAGTTCGCAAGCGTATTTGGACACTGGTGTAACACGGAGAGAAGGCAGATCATGGGGTCTGTGACGAGCACAAGTGCTGTCAGCTTCTGGTGTAGTCGTTGCTATAGCTAGGAGACGTGCCGCGTCAGTCGCTTCAGGACCATGGGAGAGGAGTTCTACTGGGCTGACGGATGGCAAAGTAGAAAGTCCATTTGCAGTAGCGATGAAGGCTTCCGCTTCTTGTAAGGCTATGAAACAAGAGGTTAGTGAATAGTTTGAGGTGGGTCCTGCGCTGGGGGCAATCACGTAGCATTGGGAGTTTAAGGTTACCCTCGGAGCGTGAATGCATTTATTGGCGGTTGACGGCGCAACAGGTTTAGGTACGAAGCAGATGGGGCCGGATTTGCGGTAGTAAGGGCTATTTTATTACAAACCTCAAACTATCCACTACCCTCTTGTTTCATAGCCTTACAAGTGAGTCAGTGAGGCTTTTTGGGAGATGTACCAACTTCGCCCGATGACAATATTGCTTTTTTTTGATGAAAACAATGTCCTCATGTATTGCTCATTCTCTCACGGAACACCTCTGTTGGCGAGGGCCAACATCCTCATAATCGCGAGGTGGACCATGTATAATCAGGCTATTTTGCAGTAAACTACTCAACATAGGACTACCAAATCCAGTTGACTGACTAAGAACCAATGACCAATAACCAGTTTGCTGCATCAAAAGCAGTTCGCAAGTTTCGAGCTTTCATCCACAGCCGTGTAGATATTTTCAAATTACACTTTCGTGGCGACCCAGAGTACTTCTTGCGTAGAAATTTGTTAAAAGGCAGCATCGCCGTTGAAAAGGAATCATTTTCTGTGGCATATTTCCAGGCAGAGGGAATTTTCCAGAACAACAGACGAGATGTTTATTGGTTCTTCGAATGATTGGTTCATTTTCCAGCAGAAATGATCCAACTATCAACGAGGTCATGCCATTTCTCGCTTGATCTCCCTCCGACGAGAAGATGGTTTAAGATTTTTATAGGGATTGTCTTACGATAAAATCTACTGCACGATATCACATAATCTACCTTTCCTGTCACTAAACTATACGAATGAAATTTGATTATTGGTTTTTAGATTTTTCAGGGGTTTATGAAAAAAAATTTATACAGGAAATTTCACTAACCGATTTTCTGTGATGACACGCCATCAACTTTAAGCTCACGATTTCCACTCACACAATATCTGAAATTGCAAAACAAACACAGTTGTTTTATAGGAATCAAATGAAAATCTGTGTATACCAACAGAAAAAAATTTTAGATTTTTTCAGGGGTTATGAAAAAAAATTTATACAGGAAATTTCACTAACCGATTTTCTGTGATGACACGCCATCAACTTTAAGCTCACGATTTCCACTCACACAATATCTGAAATTGCAAAACAAACACAGTTGTTTTATAGGAATCAAATGAAAATCTGTGTATACCAACAGAAAAAAAAACGTTCTGGACTGAAGGGACGGGTTGCATGGAGTTTTCAGATCCGACCATTTTGCTAAACATGTGAGTCCAAAAGTCAGTTTACGATAAAATAATTGAATTGTCGTAGATCATAAACCACTTTTCGGACACAAATCATATGAGGACACATGAACACTCCTCATTGCTCATGTCTAAGTCTTACACTGAATGTTTGTCCGAACGAGTTAGCATGCACGTCCATGATAAGGTAGCAAAGACATTTTCAAACGAATTGGGGCTGTCTGATAAAAAGAACTGTCCACTAGAAACCAGCATTTGTAATCGATGGACTCAGTTCTTTACTCTATTTTCTGACACATTTTTATCGAACTATTGAGACCATACTTAACAGGCAGAAGCGATGATCTCATGCAATAAGTCACCTGACGTAAGCCTCCAGTAGTGCAGTAGATTCGTTTTAATCGATCGAAAACAACTCACAAGCCATTTGTCATTGGGTTCATTTTTCAATCCTATTCATTACAGCTGCTTACCATAATGACACTGCATGGCTATGGTCGTTATTGGGAGATCATTACGACAGAGTGTTGCCCATTTTCCGAACAATCTCCGCTTTCCTCTCTAGGATCTGTCCAGCGTACGCACACATCGGGTCATAATTCCTCCTAGGAATATGGTGATCGCACTACCCATTTTTAATGCCGCTTTCATACAACCTTTTTCAGCCGTTCTAATATGAAACATCCGGATATCCTTACGTTATCCCTTGGTGGTTGACAAGTTGTGCCTGTGCTGAAGGCTTTAGGATCAAATACGAAGCCATTTCCGAGTTCGACCATGAATGAGTCGTGTTGTGGTCGTCCAGGCCAGCCTTGTCCTTCTTTCCTTTTACCTACCCTTCCCTTTTCTTTCTACTCTTTACTAGGACCTTCTCCGCTCTTGGCCGAATGGTAGTTGAGCACCAGTAAGTTCCCTTGGTGCATTGCTGCGAATGATGATGATGCGCGTATATTTTCCATTCCAAGAGCCATTTGCTTTAAACAACCACAGCGATGTTACATTCCGTCCCAGGCATCCTTTACAACCCTCACGATCCACATTCGGTTTTCTGAGACTGTCCTGCTTCATAGCTCATCAGCGTCCATCTCGCAAGTATAACGTACCACCCTCAGGGCAATAGACTGTGTGTGGACAAACGGCGATAAGAAAGTCGGTCATTACTGACCGCGTCATGAGAAAGATCATCTTGTTCATAGTCACACCACTCTCGTTTGAGCGGTCGTCCTCCTGTTCTGGAGTAACTACTCCGGTGAGTTCACATCAAAGGGAAGCACTGGATTCGAGGTTCGCTCTTGTTAGAGCATATCCAGTGGCCGTGCCGGGAGTGAAACTCGAGATGGCCATGTGGGATTTGAACTGCGGACATCTGACATACGAGGCGAGCGTGCAACCACTACTCCACCAACGCACGTTGGACGTCTGAACGGTCGAAGGTGTTCACACTTGAACGATGTGATTGGTGTGCCCAACTCATCGAACGACGACCTAGTAACTGTCCTGGTCGTGACGATCGACTGACCCGCCTGTCAGGACTCCTCAGGTAGTGTGACACGCGTGGACTCACCGGAATAATTACGCCAGAACAGTAGGACGACCGTTCTCAAACGAGAGTGGTGTGACTGTGACCTATCCCGCAAAAGGTCATTTTATTTTATGAAATGAATTCAAGATGCAGTGCTAAGGATCTCATCACAAGTGGTTCTTACGTCATATAGTTGAACGAGCTAGGCCATGTAACTGCACTTTCGCCACATACATGACTGTACAGGTCACCGCCACTCGCTGGATCACGAGACCTATCTTTTTTCCTTGCACTCACAAATCATGCCACACAATCGTGACTAACTTAACTACACAGCTCACAGTCAAGCCCTAGATCCCAAGACCTCGTTTTTTTCGTAAACTAACTTTTTGGGTAGCCAGACCACTACAACTGTCTATCTTCTGATATGGTAGCAACAAGTCATGTGCTGATACCCACACACACGCAAACGTTCATACATATAGGATAACAGCACAGCAACACGACACAACTCAACGGAACTCCGCACGCCACCCAGCTCGGAGCAAAGCCGCTTGGGACTTACGGCGTCTCACTCACGGATTTTCAGGAGTACGTGTGGCTGCTACAACAGCGAAGAAAACACGAAACCTGCATCCGGACTCACAACAGGATTTACCAACCTGAATCAGCAGCACGATAAGTCTCCTTGTTCGCGTATACACCTATTGTACTAATTTTACTCAACAAGCAGACATTGTTAGTGCTCTACGTTTTCTCGTTCATACAACTAGTTTTCGGGTTCTGTTAGAGCATTAACAGCCATTCAACTTCCAACGAAGCCCAGTCAGAACAGATCGATGATTAGCTAACCATTCCGTTTATATAATGGTGAGCAGAATGTCCGAGAGAACGCTGAGCCATGGAAGTAAACGACCAGAGAACAATGTCTAACTAAAAAACAAAACGAACGAGAACCAACAAGGCAAGAAAAGAAATATGCGGGTGTTTATTCTGGTGTTATTTCGATCTGCATCCAGATCGAATACCCTTGTATCTCCCACCGAACATAGCTGCCTTGTGGTTAGGCTTTTGACCCAAAGACTTTGGTCTAGGAACTTGATCGTCTTCTCTCTAGGCCTGAGGCACTGGGAGTATCCCAGCACTGGAACTGAGCGTTTTACTCGCCGTGCATCAAACTCAGCTGCAGCACACGTGCGTCCGATTTCAGTAACAACCCTAAACACTCAATTCGTCAACTGAGTAAGTTTCACGTGCTGGCTTTCGTTTACTGACACATTCAAACCTCAGCTTTTCACCTCTTAGCCTCACACAGACAGTTCATGCACGGCAACGTTCCCTTGTGTGATTTATATAAAATAGGAGGGGTCTCAAGATTCCGTTAACATGGTTACCCACTGGGGATAAACAGAGTATTCACACCGTGATCCAGTTGGTAAAATCGTTTCGACCACTCTGGAAATCTCCGCTGACATCTGCTCAACGGGAGGGTGATAGACTCTATCAGGCTGTGATTCCAATTTAAAATCAGTCAGCGCGCGTTGCGTCTGCGCTTCAGTTGTGATGGCTTCGTTATCCTCTTGCGGCTCTTCCAGGTCTGCGCATGTTGTGGAAGTTCTCCGGGTATCAGCTTCAGTCACGATGCGAGATGCTGGTGCTGATCGGACTCCAGATCGACGGATTAGTGCAATTTTTCCAGGGTGGATGTGAGGCAATGGAACCTAGATTGTAAGATAACCAAAAAAACAATTCTTCGAAATACGATCTGAGAAAAAATGTTCTCGTTACTGCGTAAATAGCTGTCGAAGGGCGTCGGAAAACGATATGGCTAAAATCAATATTAGTGCTTTCCAACCGAGTTTGCTCTAGGAAGATCTTTTCATATTTCAGGTGGGTCTTTTGTCAACGGACAGATTGCAACTGACAGTTTTGCTTCAACGAGGTCCGTTTCGGTGTACGAATGATAAGATTTCTAAAACTTCGGAGACTAGGCTTGAATAAAGCAACTCAAAAGATAAGATCTTTGCTTGGTTTTATGTATAAGGTGATATGGAGGAAAACACTTGGATATCATATGTCAAGTGAATAAGGAGTTATCCAGTGTGAAGCACATTCTATTGAAGTATGGAACAAAGGGTTCACTTGCCTGTCCCGTTAAAGCCAACCCAATCAGCGAATAGATGTTTATCTTCATGCGCTCCTGGTTAGTTCTTCAGGTAAGAAATGTTGCCGAAATTTACGTACGCCTTGGTAAGAATGAAGCCATCTGTTGCTCTTTTTGTCGTTACTATCAGCAATCTCCTATCAAGAAATGTTCGGAGTAATTCTAGCAACTCGAATAGGAGTGCGCGTATTGCAACCATCCTGGTTACCAGGCTACACACAGAAGCAAATGTCACTTCAATAAAGACGGAAACCATTGCGGACATCAAGATCTTCATCATAACAAGATGAGGCTGTATGGTGTGGATGTAATGTTCAGCTAAGACCTTACTGAAAGCGACTACCCGTCACATGTGCGTTTTATTGCTAGTTATTTACTAAAATCTGAAACGATTAGTGCTCGGCCGGTTCCACATATTTTCTAATTGGTTTAGAACACTCGTTCCTTTAAATACGTCGAGTTTTGCACAATACCAACTGTTCGTGAAGGACAAGTTTATAAACGTACTTCGTTTTATCAATAGGTGATTCAAAGTCTACTGAAATACACTGCACACCATTCACCGCGACAAAAGTGGTAACATTTGAATCACAAGTACTTACTTGCAAGTTAAACCTTGCCAGCGTTATGACAGGATTCTTTGCGTGCTTCAGTCTTGGAGTGAGCTTTCCAATGGCCACATGCCATTGGCTGAGTTTACCTTCCAGTTCTGTTAAATAGGACGCGCTGCTTTCCAACCCAATGGTTTTTTCAAACAGACCTATGAACGTGAGGAAGCTTTTTTTTTACTTCGTACGCAAATGTTGGGTATTTAGAGGCAAGTAGATATAGTGACCGTGAAGTAAAAGAGGCACCTGTGAGGCATTTTGGGCGGCTACACCTTTCTCTGATTTGTAATCTCAAGGCAAAATCACTGGATATACTGAACAGTGCAATCCTCGAGGCACGAGAACAATTTCGTTTTATCGTCCTTTCAGATTCGAAAGGTTAGAGATGTATTTCCGCAAATCTCAGTATTGTGCGTTCAGCTACTGTCCACCAAGATCAACGAATCATCCGTCAGGGAGAGGGGGCTTTTTGTCTGACGTTTTATTCCCTCATATTATTCATGAGCCATGCTACAAACTATAATAAAGGTAACTCTCCTCCGTACTCACCTCACTTTGGCTGGCGACAGGAGAAAAGAGCTGGAAGAATTCAAATTTAGAAGTTAGGACTACCAACTAGACTCTTTCTGGTCACATCCTCACAAATCTTTTTTGATAACCAATGGCCTAACTTCCGTCCTCATACAATTGTCGCACACCGGAAAACTGCCTAATCAGTAGTTATCTGTGTATTCAGTTTGACTGACCATTTCAAATGATTTTATCGGTACCAGCGTCCGGTTAGGGTGATAGGTTGACGTCTTCAGTAGGTCTGCAAACTATGCTTTGCCATAAGAGTGGCAAAACGAATAACGGTCCTGTGCTCATGTTACCCGTAGGAAAGGAATTCTCTTTTGTATTGATGTTATTATCGGGCTGAACCAAGTTTCAGAGTTGGAATCCGCCCAAATGTTAGAGGAATTCGAAATGGAAGACCAAGAATGGTTCTTTTGGAAACCTCCACGAATCTACATGGAGATCCGACTCCTAAATGGTTCGAACAAAACTCTGACAATATTTTGCAGGTCGGTAGCAGTGTGACCGATTTAAACGTAACTAAGATGTCGCTCGACCGATTTCTCAATCTGTTTTTTGCTCCACTGGGGACTGTGTCGATCCACAGGGCTTGATCAGTTGCCTTAGAACATTTCTGACTTTCCGAGAGGCTCACAGACTGGATTTCTCAACAGAGCTATCGCCTAATGTTCAGACATGGGTTCACTTCGTTTGTGGGACAAAGCCACGCACCGGTTTCTAAACCCACTTTTGTTGTCCCTATGTTGGTAATAGAAAACGCAAGCAAACAGCCTTACTATTGGCTCGTCTGTTTGTTTTGATTCAAGATCCCAGAAAATTGGGAGGTGTTGTGTTGCAAACAGACGGTTGTTAAGGGCAGGCTTTTTAGGCAGCTGGAGTTTTACACCAGGTGGATTTGAGATCAGTTGGTAGGACAGAGGACAATTCAAAAGGGTTGGCAGGACAAGTCATTTCACTGCAAGGTGTAGTGACTGTTACGCCGTTATGACGAAACTGTCTACTGATCAAATTTAGTGAGTAACTGAACCATGCGTAAATTATTTGTACAGCAGTCCTTGTAGTGTCAGACGGGTTGGAGTGATTTTACACAAACTACGCCCGAACTGACAAATCGCGGTCTCAAAAAAAAGAGAACAATTAGGTCCTCTGTCCATGTGTTAATCAACCATACTTCAAACTTGCCATTATCAGAAACAGCTCTTTCTTCCGGTTCGGAATCTCCCGTCTGTTCCGGGAACGACAAACGAGCACTTCTGATGAGAAACTCCCCTGAAATCTTCTTTCTTCTACCGGCAATCATTCGCCTGGTCAGAGGAGCTCCGTA